TTCAGAGTCATGTTACAAAGAGTTCTGATGTGAGTAATTTGCCGTAGAAAAAAATCTCGACAAATGAACAGTGCTGAAAAAGTGTTTCTGTTGAAAAGTAAAGCATGCATCATAGAAGCAATGACAAAAGGTGTCAGAGCAGTGCAAAAATGCTGCTCCGATTAGGAACTAGAAGGTGTCTGATGTGTGATGCTCTGTCTGGTTGATAAAGCGTGTGAATTAGTCAGGGAAAGTGCCTGTAAAGCACTTTGGTGGGAACCATGAATCTAGTTAGTGAACACGGGGAACTGCACTGGTTTGATTAAGACCTACTTTAGCTGACTTCAAAGAAATAGGTTGACTCCCAGATAAGAAAGAAGATGAATTTCATAGTACCTGCCCAGGACAATTACATGGAACATCTGTCCATAAGGGCAAACTACTGCCTCTGAAGAGAAACGCATGAACTGATTTTCAATATTGATGGTTAGATAGGTGTTTTTGGCAAATGTGTTATGATGAAAAATATGACCTTGCATTTGACACATTAGAATTTGATCTTAGAATATTAGGCATAACATTCTATGTGTTTATTTCCACAGTTTGAAGATTGTCAATACAAATTCTCAACAGGGGATCTGCCACATAAACACAACAAACAAACTAGAAGAAGCGTAAAAACATATTGCTAAACAGATTTGTGCTAATAGATGATACCTGTTATTTTATCTACATCGAAGTCTTAAACCCTTGGGTGAGGACAGTGTGTTTTCAATGGGAGAACATGCAAACACCAGTCAGAAAGGCCCAAGGATTTTAACCCATCATTTGCTGAGCGGCAGAATTTCTAATGACTGTGAAAATACTAGTTTGAATTTATCATTGCAGTATTATATTGTTTCTACAAGGCTGTGAACTTGTGAATTAAAACATGTGGTCGTGCATGTGTGCTGATGGAAATATGCCACTGACAGATGGGTGACAGAACTTTGGATTCAGCTTGACAGTCGCTCTAGTGGGTGAGGAGATAATGTATAGAAATGATGACACCTGCCAAAAACATTCAACCCTAATTCACACTTAAAAAACTAGAAAGCCATTTTTTTTGCATGATATATTGTTAGCAATTGTTGACTCCTGACCGCATAGTTCCGTTCATGTTTTCATCTTTTAAGTGATGATGGAGAGTTGCTGTGTAAAAGGGCACATTTACTGTATGTCCTCGCATTATAGTCTATAGTTCTCAAAAAATGTTATTGAGACATTTGAGTTGACTTGCAGACAAGGGGCTGAAGATGATAACTGAGGTGGTGGAAATGTGAGGTAACCAAATCATCAAGTATACAGCCAAGTTGATTTATAGCGTGTTTTACATTTCTCATTGAGAGAATGTCAATACCAATATTGTATTTGTGTAGTAGGGTCTGTTGGACAGTTAGTGTCTAACAAAAAGGACTGTGGTGATGATCCAGGACACTTTAACATTCTACAACATGTATGGACATTTATCAACATGTGTTCTGTGTGCTTTTTGTGTCTTAACTGTTGATTCTCTGATCTGTGTTGGGAATTTCAATGGTTTTGTTAAGTTCTTTGAGATGACTTCTGTCATGATTTAGGGCTATACAAGAATAAATTGTATTGTAAATTGAATTGTATTGTATTTAAATACAAAATACGACAGCTGAATCATCCGCATCTGTTTAATTGTCTAATTCTGTGCCAATTATACATGCGGTGGTAAGAGAGTGCGTCAAACTTTGGACAATTGGAAATTAAAATAAGAAAATCTGGTGATCTTACAGAGTTTTAAACCTGTGACACCTGAAACCCCAACCTGAAACTCACACCTCGAGCTGCAGCGTCCAACCCACTCTCTCAGAAAACTGTGTAATAGTCACATTGGTCCACCTCTTAAACTGTGAGAATACCACAGTTTGGGCTCTGAAACTGTGGCACTCTTACATATTTTATTGCAATGTTATTCTACGGGAGTCACGTGACCACACCGTTTCCTGCGAGGGAGGAAATAAAAATGGCCGACATTTCTCATAATTATAGTCCAAAACTGCGGTTTATAGCATTATTTAGAGACTAAAGTCAACTTATTTCACAATTTTGAGCGAGAAATATACACTTGTATTTCGTTATTTTTAAATAAAATGGTTCCTAATGGCTTCATTTACGAAATTGAGCGATCTTTTTTTTGGTCCCTTAAAAATATGTGTTATTGTTACAGTTCGCCATAATAACACGTAGATCTTCGCCCCTCAAAAACAATTGTGATTTCAAATTTGACCATTTGACTACCCTTGTACAGAATGCTCGTGCGTGGTTACCTTCAATCGTATACATTGAAAATCACGTAAATCATCGATTTTGATAGATCCGTTCCGTCTGAAAATGTGCTATTGTTACAGTTCTGATGCCGGCGTCGCTCCTCATTGGTCCATCCCCAAGCTGTAAGAATACCACAGTGCACTGTAACTGTGGTACTCTTACAGATTTGTTTTATAATATTCTATGGGAGTCACGTAACTACACCATTTCCTGCGAGGGTGGGAATTAAAACATCAGAATCAGAATCATTTTTATTGCCACGTAAGTAACAGGAAGTCACAAACTTGAAAACATGACCAACATTTGTCATAATATCACCGACAACAGTGATTATTCTTAGGATTAGGGATCTTTTTGTGTCCCTGAAAATAGTTATTGTTGAATATCGCTCAGTGATCACAGCGTTCACCGCGTTGCCATGACGACACGTCCGTTGCGACGAAAATGACGTTGGGATCATGTGTCTGTCTGTATAATTAAAATAAAAAACCTTACAAGATTAATTGATGTGTTTTTAAACTGATAAGAATATTTCCCACATTCTTTAAACAGGTTTAAGTCGATATTATGGCCAAGCGGTTATGGAGGAAGTAAAGTATTATTTGAGAAAAATTACGTAAATACCTTTTTGTAAATTTTGTGCAGGACCCCACCTAGTGGAGTGTCAGGGTAACAGCAAGTCTACAGAACCTCCAAGGTTATGATCAAAAATGGTTTTATACTGTATATGATGCAGTGTACATTATCAAGACGGCGCAGTAGGTATGAATACATGTTTTACAAAGGTAACTTTTTAATGCTTCACACAACTCAACCAAACCAAACTACGGCACATTTTTAGATTATCGAAATATATGTAACATCAATCACATAACATAATAAAGGATTCTGAAACATGTGCAGCTTCAAGGTATTTAATTCAATGGAGTCTGATGTAGCTAAGGTTAGAACTGCAGCCACAACCAGCCCTTTGAGGACCAGCATGACGCCCCTGCTGTAGATGATCATATATACAACATTAATTTTAATTCAATGTAGGTTTCTATAGTCCTAAATCACAACAGTTATCTCGAGGACTTTACTCATCTGTCAATTCGCCAAACAGAGAACAGAGGAAAAAAAACAAAAAAACGTTCAAACACAGGAATTGCAATGATTCAAAAAACTTAAAGGGGGCAGATGATCAATGTCCATAATTCTCAAGAGGCTCCCAAGTGGGCTTCCATATACGCTTACTGAAACAAAAAGAAAAGGTATATGAAGCATTCAGGGTAAAAACGTCTCAAAGCTAAATATTATTGTTTAACCACAGTAAATCAATTACCAAGTCCCACATGGAAGCCATTCCACAAGAACCTAAAAAAAAAAAAATATATATTTATCAGTATAAGACTCTACATTGCACTTGCGATCACCAGCAAAATCAGTATAAACAAACATTCATGTGGACACAAGATAAAGATAAAGATAAGATAAAGATAATTCTTTATAAAAAATACTGCTTGTTATGTAAAATTAAAGAAAAGTTAATGCAACCTACTTTTTTCCCCCGCTTCTTTATTATCTTAGACATAGGGTAACTTCCTGCTGTCTGCTGCTTGTTACACTCTTCACAAATATTTTTGGCTGCATCTACAGGGTGAAAAAAACAAACACAAATTGGAGGGTTCTTATTAGGGATGGCATAATGCAGTATAATCACAAAATCAATTAGTCATATTAATACATTGGATACAATATATAGATGTGTATACGTCTTTGTCCCCATGATCTCTGACAGATGCATGTGTGTGTCCACATGGTCTCTGTGTCAGATGCATGTGTGTGTCCACATGGTCTCTGTGTCAGATGCATGTGTGTGTTCACATGGTCTCTGTGTCAGATGCATGTGTGTGTCCACATGGTCTGTGTCAGATGCATGTGTGTGTCCACATGGTCTGTGTCAGATGCATGTGTGTGTGTCCACATGGTCTGTGTCAGATGCATGTGTGTGTGTCCACATGGTCTGTGTCAGATGCATGTGTGTGTGTCCACATGGTCTGTGTCAGATGCATGTGTGTGTGTCCACATGGTCTGTGTCAGATGCATGTGTGTGTGTCCACATGGTTTGTGTCAGATGCATGTGTGTGTGTCCACATGGTTTGTGTCAGATGCATGTGTGTGTGTCCACATGGTCTGTGTCAGATGCATGTGTGTGTCCACATGGTCTGTGTCAGATGCATGTGTGTGTGTCCACATGGTTTGTGTCAGATGCATGTGTGTGTGTCCACATGGTCTGTGTCAGATGCATGTGTGTGTCCACATGGTCTGTGTCAGATGCATGTGTGTGTGTCCCACATGGTTTGTGTCAGATGCATGTGTGTGTGTCCACATGGTTTGTGTCAGATGCATGTGTGTGTGTCCACATGGTCTGTGTCAGATGCATGTGTGTGTCCACATGGTCCTGTGTCAGATGCATGTGTGTGTGTCCACATGGTTTGTGTCAGATGCATGTGTGTGTGTCCACATGGTCTGTGTCAGATGCATGCGTGTGTCCACATGGTCTGTGTCAGATGCATGTGTGTGTGTCCACATGGTCTGTGTCAGATGTAAGTTTCTCTCATGGTCCAAATAATATGCATAGGTTATTTTTACTGTGGTGCGTCTGGCCGCCGCACCTCTGTGCGCCTCCTGGAGTGTTTATGGAGGTCTACTTTGCTGAGGAGAGGCGTCTCACCGTGCTTACGGTGTGTAGGGGGCCGTCATCTTCCTAATATTACACACAAACTAAGATTCCCACATAACTTCAAGGTCGATCACGGCTAAATGGTTGCTGTTCTATACACTGTAAAAATAAATAACCAAATAGATCGAGTAGTCTATATTAGACAATCCAAATACTTTCTTGTTGGAGAGGATTGGATTAATTGTATTGGATTAGGGGTGCAACGGTTTGAAAAGAATCACGGTTCGGATCGTACCTCGGTTCGGTTCATTTAAAAAAAAAAAAAAAAGTTTTGTCTTTTTAATAAACACAGCTCAACGTGGACTCGTCACCTGCAGGAGGATCAGTGAGGGGCTGGTGCTCTGTGTACTGGGTGCAGCTCTGACTGCACCCCCCCCCTGACCTAGAAATGGATTAAGGGGAAGAAAATGGATGGATGGTATGATGGATCGAGAGCATATTCCATCCATCCAATTATGTCTTTTTAACATAATTAATGAAAAACAACACAAAGTGCAACTTAAAAAGGCACTTTGAGGTCATTTACCCTCATATATTATCACCTTCCTGATTCTCCCAAGGAGGGCTCCATTCTGGGCCCAGTCCAGCCTCATTTACTGCATTCATTTAATTTTTGGCATTATCAGTTGTGACTGGGATATTAGTACTAGGCCTGTTATCGTAACATAGTTCTTCGTTCCGCTCATGGATCTATTATAGGTTCCGCGGGACGTCCAAGCGTCAGTCGTGAACGCAACTGTCGATGTGCGGGAGAGTTAACTTTAGCCCGGTCTGACTGAGCATTAAGAGCTGCTTAAATGCCACTCAATATAAGCGGTCTTTTTTTCACTCATGTCTTTGTTGTGCCACAGTATTTACACACCGTGACAGTTTTGTCGACTATTTTATTATCAGTAGAGTTTACAGTGAAGCCAAATATGCTCTCATACCAGGGATTTAAATGACGCGGGGCTTTCAAGCTCCTCCGTTCCTCTGCTCGCCATGATTATGCTGTGTGTGGACTGAACAACATGCGCCACAACTTTTTTTTCATAAATCAAACCGCGGATCACGTCTGTACCGAACCGAAGACGTTGATCCGAACGGATCACGGATCAGTGATGAACCGTTTGCACCTCTATATTGGATCAAAAAAATATATATACTAGTAGACTAGTATGGGTGATAAAAATAATATGAACACTATCAATTACTACTATATCAATCCACTTGAGGAGAAATGGTTGTTTATGTCAATTGATGCATACAATTTTATAAAACATCATTATTTGTCAATTAATGTGATGACAACTTACTTTTAGCAGTCGCTTTTGGGACTCTCTTTGATCTTTTCAAAACTGGAATGGATAACGGTTCAGTTAGAATTTTAATAAACATTTTCAAGTCATTGTATGAATGCTATATTTACATACTAAAAGTGGGACATAAAAACTACCTGTGGTGTCTTTGCTGGCTGGTGGGGGGGGCATGGACTCGGGTGGAGATGACGCACTAGCTCTGGAGGGCGGAGATGACGCACTAGCTCTGGAGGGCGGAGAGGACGCTCGAGCTCTGGAGAGGCGGAGAGGACGCTCGAGCTCTGGAGGGCGGAGAGGACGCTCGAGCTCTGGAGGGCGGAGAGGACACTCGAGCTCTGGAGGGCGGAGAGGACGCTCGAGCTCTGGAGGGCGGAGAGGACACTGCTCGAGCTCTGGAGGGCGGAGAGGACGCTCGAGCTCTGGAGGGCGGAGAGGACACTGTCGCACTGGAGGGCAGAGAGGACACTGTCGCACTGGAGGGCGGAGAGGACACTGTCGCACTGGAGGGCGGAGAGGACACTGTCGCACTGGAGGGCGGAGAGGACACTGTCGCACTGGAGGGCGGAGAGGACACATAGACTGTATCTCTAGAGGGGGGTGGACTGCTGTTCCAATCTAGACAAACACAAAAAAAATACTATGTTTTTTTTTCGCATATGTACTCCATCAACTGCCGGCTACTTAAATGTCTGACCTTCATCTGTCTTTCACTTGTGAATACAATCCGGTTAATAATATTTGAGGTTAAAACATTTTTTATATTCTTTATATAAATCTGCTATAAATAACATCTGTAATATACAATTATTTTATTTATGTAAAATTTGGGTCACTTTGTAAATTGTATGAAAGAGGAAACAAAAAAGCCCTGATGAAGTCTATTTTGTGCAAGCTATCTTTCTATGTTTATTTCAATAAATTTATGTATTTGTTTTAAAAGTTGGCCATACAAAAAGTAACCTTACTGTCATTTACAACGCCAAAAGGGCTTTTTTCGGTCAAGGCATTTTGTGCTGTTCACCCTAGGCTCCAATTGGGTGTATCAGTGAACTCTTCACCCATTTTTTTTGGCTTTGCAAAAGCTAGAACGGTGCCCTATAAGCCTAGGGCGTTGAGTTTCTCCACCTGAGACAAACAATGGCAAGTTATTATTTAATTCTGCAGCTATGATTTATTCTTGTCTACTAGCTGCCGTGTTTAATTGTCTTGAGTTCAGGGCTTCGGACACATTTGTTATTTGGTCACTAATACATGTGTAGATGGTGCACATTACACATTTCTTAATCATTCATATATTCAGTGAATTATTTTTTAAATAAACCCCATTGTGTTTCTTGATGCACATTGACAGTTTTACACCGTTTCCCATAATGTGAGATGTACTGCAGTTGTGTTTAGTATGTTTTCGATAAAAGGTTTAATGAGCCTTTATCTTAAACATTTATCAAAATTAGTGTTACAACATTAACTTAAGATTAGGATGCTTCATCCACAACGTGTTGTTGCTGACAGTAGTTCTTTTTTTTCTTTGTTGAAGTATCCATTTTTACTTTTTTTTTTCTATTTGTACTATTTTTTTTTCAAACCTCACTTTCCCTAGTTGCAATGCCTGGCAGATTTTGCATTTTTTGGTCTGAACGTGGATCCTGGCTTGAGACTGCCTGTACATGTAGTTTAGTCGACCCCGTTGACATGTCGACTCTGAAAAACATAATAAAAAGGTCATCTGTGAATCATTAAAAGTTAGGCATCAAAGCTCACAAACACATGAATCCATGAAACTCCCAGCAAACCTTATCTATATGTGTATTATATTGATCCATCCTACAGCTCTTATACGGTTTCAGGGTTCCACGTTCTGTCTGTTTAGCATACAATTAGCATGCCCCTATGCTGGTATGCTAATTGCGGGGAACCTCTGATCATACTTTCACCTGCGAATTTTGTCAGCAACTCCGACACGATATCTATGTCTAACAACATAAAAGCATGGTGGAAAAGCGTATTCCGATTTTACAGTAACATTTAACTCTGGATATGAAAATACATCGTTCTTACCGCGTGCGTGGGACGTATCTTCAGCTGAGAAAAATGACGGAGCTCATACTTCCGGGTACACCTGGATAGTTTCCTGTTGATTATCCACGGGAAGGACCGGGTTATACGCCAAAATATTTCAGGCACATTTATTAACAGTGATTTCTTAGATGCATGCATTGTTTTATTATATACATGGTGTTTTCTGAGATTTACCAAAGTCTGAAATGACACCGTGCACTGCGTGGTGACTAACATGCATGCGCTCATAAATGCATACACGCACACATTTCAAAACGCACGCGCATGCATTCGCGTACTAATGGTACAGACAGCTAAACACGCACTGGGCTCACGATTCTACAGGCAAGAGAATTATGAATGATATAAATCTTGATTTCGGGTTCAAAGGATGAAGAAAATAAAACTTGACTGTTGTTCATTCTACAACTACAAAAACTACCATAGCCGTCATTTTGGCTCCATTCCAACCATGGAATTATAAGAAATTCCACCAACATATTTTAAGCAAATTGTTTTTCAATAGATTTTATTATAAGGTATTTACATTTATATAACTTTACATTTATTATAACTTTCCCGCTTACAGTTAGTCCAGAACTCCGCGGCACGGATTTTAACAGCTTCTTTGCACTAGCTTCCTGTTAATTTTAGAATTGATTTTAAGATTTTATTGTTTGTTTTGAAAACTTTGAACGGACTGGCCCCTCCTTACATCTCGGACCTCATCCAAATTTTATCACCCACCCGCACGCTGAGGTCCGAGAGGACCGTTACCATGACAATTGGTCCGCAGCGCATCACATTTGATATCTTTCCTCAGTAAAAAAAAAAGAAATAATGGGCGACGACTGGGAGCATTCTCTCAGTGAATTCTATTATCCGGACGAGTTTGAGAGAACCAGAGGAATTACAGAAAATAACGACAAAAAAAATAACTAACAGTCAAGAAGAGATTGACAACTTTGTTGCAGACCAGAAAGCTAAAAACACAATAAGGAAAACCAAGTCGGATGTGAACATACTTCACAAATATCTAAAAAGGCATTGGTAAAGTACACAGAGGAGAGTCATATAATAAAAAACTTTATTAACCTTGCTTGCTCGGTTAATAAGCCGTTATTACTAGACTATAAGTGCTGGTGAACATAATTGGAAATACTGTAGAGATTTCATAACACTTTGAAAACAACTGTAGTTAAAGTTAAACTCATCATTCTAATATGCACGAGACAGTCACAGTACTTTTCCACTTGATGTTTTGGTATCTCAAGGTTGTAGCTACAGGCATCGCGGCGAAAGCTGATTGGACGGTGTTCATTCAACAGCACTTGCATTTTCGTTACATCCTTGTTCGTGTGCTTGAGTTTGTGCTGGCCTCTACCATCAATAAAACATGTCTTTCTGTCTGAATTAAAGACATGATCCCAGACTTTGGCTGATTTTACAACAATAACAACAAAGGTCATATGATATTTGTTACAGTACAGTTGCTATGTTATCTAGTACTGCCTCTTTTTTTGTAGGAATACATGGTAAAACTATACTCGCATTTCAAAAACAAGGACATTGAATACTGGACTGGACTCATAAAACAGACGCCCGCTTCAAGAAGGGCCAGAGTCGCCTCTACCTGCTGAGGAGGCTCAGGTCTTTTGGAGTGCAGGGGCCACTCCTGAAGACCTTCTATGACTCTGTGGTGGCATCAGCCATCTTGTTCGGTGTGGTCTGCTGGAACAGCAGCATCACAGAGAGGGACAGGAAGAAGCTGGACAAGGTCATCAGGAAGTCCAGCTCAGTCCTGGGCTGTTCCCTGGACACAGTGCAGCAGGTGGGGGACAGGGGGGTCCTGGTCAATCTAACATCTATGCTGGACCATGACTGTCACCCCCTGCAGGACACCCTCTCTGCTCTGGAGAGCAGCTTCAGTGACAGACTAATTCACCCTCGCTGTGTGAAGGAGAGGTTCCGTAGGTCTGTATGCTTGCTTAAGTAAATTCTTAAATTTCATGTGCTTAAATGTGCAACTTCAGAATGTCACAGAACAATGTCACTTTACCTCATGTCACTTTACTTATATACTTTTTATCCTGCACTATTTAACTGTACAGTATATAACTGCACTACTACATATATATTTTTTGACTGGTATTGAAGGATTTTCAGCATCTACAGCTAGTTATGTTAGTTAAGAAACATAGCTACTTATTTGTATATAGTGTATATATTGTGTGTGATCCCTGTGTGCTCTTACTACTGTCCTATACTGTATATGCGATGCAACATCAAAATTTTCCCACTGTGGGACGAATAAAGGAATTCTTATCTTCTTATCTTATCTCATCTTGAAAGAATCTTTATAGAAACAGAAAAAGACACAAAGTTCTGAAGACCAAAGTCTAGAGTAATTTCTCTTCCAAAACTAAAAGACATTCCTCAAGACAACACATATGCCTCAGCCTGGTGAAGGGCCCTGTTCTGTGGAAAATCCCCTTTTGGGAACCGCATTGACCTTCAACCTGATGAAGACCTTAGGGCAGCTCATCCTCATCCACCTTCGCTCTGAGATCAGCCCCACCCTGAACACATTAGTCCGGTCTTCAGGTCTCTGCACTGGCTTCCTGTGGCTCAGAGGATAGACTTTAAAACAGCTCTGCTTGTGTACAAGTCTCTCCATGGCCTCGCACCAAAATATATTAGTGACATGTTAGTACCATACGAACCAGCCCGGACTCTGAGGAGCACAGGGACTGGACTCCTGTTAGTGCCCAGAGTCAGAACTAAACATGGGGAGGCTGCTTTTCAGATTCATGCTGCTAAAATCTGGAATAATCTCCTTGAAGATGTGAGACAGGCAGGAGGCCTGTCTCACATTGTCTCTCTGACAATGTTTAAAACCAGGTTAAAAACGGTGCTGTTTAGCTGTGCATACAACTGAGGGATTTTATATTTTTATCTTCCTTTTTAATGTTCTGTGATTATTTATGATTTTAATGCTTTCTTGTTTTGTTCAGTACTTTGAGTTGCCTTGTGTAGGATTTGTGCTATACAAATACACTTGCCTTGCCTTGCCTATAGATTCTCCATTGTGAGATCAATCTTATTTCTTGACAAATATTCAACACATACTCACAATGTTAATTTTTCATGATATGAGGCGGAATTGGTTTTCAAAAAATGGGAGTAGAGAAAAATTACATTTAAATTATGAGAAGTCTCAAAAACGTTATTTATCTATTCAACATCTGATTGTTCAAGGAGTGTTTATTTCATAATTGTAATGCATGTATTCGTTAATAGGTTGGAACTGTGTTTTTAATATATACTATTTAAAACTACAATTTTAGCCACTGTGACAATTTAGCGTAATACAAATGGGCGCCATGTTTGTAGTTGTTTTAGCTGGGTACGTTTGTGTAACGTCACATCTGTGCGCGTGTGGTGGGTTTGAACAGGTTTGGGTTTGACACGTTTGAAATGGAAAAAAACAACAAATAAACTTTATATAAAAGCGAAGATC